TCCTTTTTGTTCTTTGTATGGAATATTTATCTCGGCTCATTAAATGGCACACGGCGGAAGACCCGAACTTCAAATTCCATCCTATGTGTGAGAAGCTTAAAATCTCTCACCCTGTCTTCGCCGATGACCTCATGCTCCTCTCTCGGGGGGACTCGGGGTCAATTCAATTGCTTATGAATTGTTTAAGGGATTTTGGAGCAAAATCATGGCTTGAAATGAATGTGCTCAAATCCAACATATATATGGCCGGAGTTAAAGAGCAAGATCGTGAGACAATCCTTGATGATACTAGTTTGCAAAGCGGGCCTATGCCTTTTCGTTACCTCGGGATTCCCCTCACCGCGGATCGCATTATCAGGAGGCTCTTTGATGATATGATCAAACAAGTTGAAAGCCAATTAAGTGGATGGAGGAGTCACTCTCTTTCCTATGCCGGTAGATTGGAACTAATTCGATCGGTCATTCAAGGCATCGCTTGCTTTTATATTGGCATATTCCACTTTCCGGGCATTGTTCGAACCAAGATCATTCAACTTTGTAGGAGGTTCTTATGGGGCTCCAAAAAAGCCCCCGCTGCATGGGATGCTTTGTGTCTACCTCGTGCGGAGGGTGGATTGGGGCTCCGTAACTTGGACGCTTGGAACCGAGCTCTTCTCATGAGGACTCTTTGGAATATGCAAGCAAAGAAGGATTCACTTTGGTACAAATGGATCCACAACATCTATTTGAAGGAGAAAACTATTTGGGATTGGCGAGTTTCCAAAAATGATTCCCCCCTCTTCAAATCCCTCTTTGAAATCCGGCAAAGCTTGATTGAAAAAACGGGTAGCGAGCATGGCGCGGAAGCCCTTCTCCGTGCTTGGAATTTGCGTGACAAACAAGATGGAATGAGTAAGTGCTATGACTTTCTCCGTCCCAAGAGTATCAAGAAGCCATGGACCGGGGTTGTTTGGAGAAGTTGTAATACCCCTAAGCATTCTTTCATCTTATGGCTCGGCGTAATGAATAGGCTCCAAACAAAAGATAGATTGGAGTTCCTCAACGAAGACCCCACATGCCTCCTTTGTGGTACCGCAAACGAATCCTCGAGTCATCTCTTCTTCGAGTGTCCCTATAGCTCGGAGATTTGGAGTGCAATCAGAGTTTGGGTTAGCCTCCATCACATGCCATCTACCCTTAAAGACGCCCTCAAAGGGACTAAAAAAGAAGGGAAAGGTACGGCTTGGCGAACCAAATTGAAGAAAGCGGCACTTGCGGCAACCGTCTACTTCATTTGGAACGCACGCAATAGATTGATTTTTTAAGGCAAAAGTCAACCTCCAAACCTCGTGATTAGAAAGGTAAAAACACATGTTTACCGCACTATCTTTGCTACCTACCCGAGTGTTCTTGCCGAATTTGAAAGGAGATGTCTTGGCCTTGAATTTTTGAAAAA